TTTCGTAGAATGCGAGACAAGGTTAATGGGATGGTATGCCGGTGCGTGCGTGGCTGGGAGAAAAAGACAGCGAGAAGAGAAAAGAAGTTGCAAAAGGGAAAAGAAAATACGAAGCATGTTAAACTCGTTACAGCAACGATCCCGAAGGCATAATCCAGATACACGGGCCTATGCCCGCCATACTGGCTGCTCGAAAGTATTTGCATTATGCATGGAAATCTACTACCTCCTGCAAGGTTCACCTTTTTCGAACCGCCAACGTTATCTCGATGTATGAAAATATCATCGGATATCCTTGTAAAACTAACCCATTAAACAGCGATACTGCTCCTAATGGATATAATACGTTTCTTCCCCCTGTATTTCCCTTGTCGATCTCATTTAACGCGATAACGCGTATAAAATACAATTAGAGCGCAGGCGAAAGAAGTTAACATCTCACTTAGGGAATGCTCACGGAAAATTGCAACTTTATCGAACAGAAAGCACCGTGGCATCGTTCCTTTTTCACGGTTTCGCGAAACGAAGTAACTCATAAGATGCGCTTCATAAAATATATAAAATATATAAAATATAGTGCATCTACTGTATAAAATATTCCATTATCTCTAGAAGCAGCGGACTATTCGAGCCGAGTAATTTCAATCTTCCTATTTTCGCGATTAATGGAAATATAAAGATGCCTTTGACGAAATTAATCGACCGAACGACTTAATTAAAATAAACAAGATATAAACGTAATTACGCGTATTTATTTCTATCGTAGCACCGTTTAATTAGCTTCATCTATTTACCTTTATGTACACACCGTACAGCGGTATTAATTCCAGCACTGAAACAAGATTCCGTTCTCGACAGTCTCGATCGAACATCCGGAATAATAAAATTAAAACCGACGAGCTTTATTTCCCGCTTCCCGTCAAAATCGTTTCAGGAAATCGAACAGAAGGTTGCCCTGTTCGCTGCGAAAGAAAGGTGGAAAATAAATCCTTTCGGGAAAATAGGAAATAGGAAACCATCCGAAAATTACGCGGATGCAACGCTGATGAAAGGCAAGAAGGTAGAAGAGGCTGGAAAGGAATGTCCGCTTGGCGTCAATGGAAATAACGCTGGATCGGCGCGAAAACTACTCGGCTGGACGATGATGCCAGCCGATCTAAAGCGTTATTACCGGCCTTTTCCGTAATAAGCCATTCGGATTTATCGCGAGCGCGGTTGAATTTCAATCCTTTTCTAATTTGCGGCGCAAGAGGAGGCTATCGCCTAGAACGGTCGGATCCATCGTTTCGAGGCAGGTAATTACGCGAACGGCCGAGCTCGGTAACCTGTTTCACGGCAATTAATATACACGCGTGCACGGACGGGACGGGACATTTTTTCGCGCGCCTTAGTAACGAAACGTACGAGGCGGATATGGAAATTTATGGAACAGCGGCGGAAATATACGGCGAGTAATTAATATCGGTTTCATTACCGAAAAATAGAGAGTGTCGATGAAACGATAAACGTCATCGTTACGGATGTCGCGGCTCACCCCGGGGCCCTTAACTCGCCGCTTTTCGCGCATAACTTTACCCCCCGCGAATGGCCGCGACGTATAAATCCGTGTCCCGCGGCTCGATCCTCGTGTCCGCGGGCTTCGATCCGGCCTAATGGGCCGATCGGTGTAATAAAAATGCCCGACTGTTGCTACAATGTTCGCGTCGTTCGTTACCACCCCCTCGCCACGCGGCGACGAGCTGAAATTTATCGCGATCGACCGTGGACCCGAGTACCGACGCGACCCGAGTCCATGTCTAATAATCTCTTTAATAAACGAATCGCTGTTGCAATAAATAACGTTTAATAAGCGTGCTAGGCGCGACTTCTTTCGTAGGTGGTAAGTAATCTAGCCGGGCGGGGGGTTAACGTACAGCTGGCTGATATTAATAGCTTAATGCACAGCCATACGGTGATCCGCCTCGTAAATCGTCATTACTTCCCGCGAATTACTTCGATTCGCAGTCTGTCCACTGAAATCGCTGCAGCTAGTTACCCGGCCAGATATGCAAAGTGACCGGACTCTCTTCGTCACCGGTGTGTCCCTTATCTCGCCGAAGAAAAGTTTTAATTACACTCGGGATAATGAGATATTGCCGTCTTCTTTCGTTCAATGCGATAATTGTTACTTCTCGATCAGATAATTCGTTATACACCGGTAACACCGCTATCCACTTTCACAGGATGCGAATACTCATTTGGTAATTATCGCTACGGTTAAGGGGACAATGATAACAAATTGCTTCCTTCCATCTTTTCTCGCGGACGAGATTCCACGGAAAAATCCTCTCCAACGATTTCCTTCATTTTCTTTATTTTCGCGACATCGCTCCTGCCACGGGGAATAATAATTAAGGCACAAGGCTACTTGCAATCAAAGTACGGCGCGTATTCGAATAATAGATCGCGTCGTGGAACGCAGCAAAATAGACGTCTGCCACGAATACCGCGATCAGAGCGAAAATATTTATTAGTAATAATAAATTTTATTTCGTCCGGAACTACGACCGACTATCCGAATACAGGAGTGACACGGATACGCATATACGGGAATTGAAAAATCGAGGGAAGAAATGGCGGCCGAGTGACGTTCGCGGGTAAAGGAGAATGAACGAGCCGGGTGACAATAACAAACAGGAGTGCTCAAAATTAATAAAGCATCGCGGGGGTATCGGAGCCGCGACGATGGCTAAGCGCGCATGGCCGCGGCACGCGAACCAGCGTGGTCGATAAATTACCGGTCCCGCTCGGTGTTTCCGCGTGACACGAAAGCTTCGCCCGAAGGAAAGAAGCTTGGTGCACACGGGCAGAGGAAAGCAGGCCCGCGGACGCGGCACCAGATAAAAGTCGCATGCGACACAGAAGCAGTCCGCGATGGTGTTGGCGCGGGTTTGCGGAGTGATGCATTGGTACCGCCAAGTGATATATGCTTATGGGGCATGCCGGAGTACCGGACACGGACACGCACACGCACGCGCTGCGCCACGTAAGGGATACACGTGTGTCCAGCCACGGCGTGTTCATTATGTACTCCTGCGAATCATAAAGCAGCCGAGGAGGGGAGGGGAAAAGAGGAAGAAGGTCCAAAGGGAAGAATTTTCCAAAGAGGTGCAAGGGTACGCCGAGAAGGAGAAGGGAACCCACGCGTGTGTCGGGACGCGACTTTTCCGATCGATATGATTTAAATGGCGTTTTAAGAAAGCGGGATCCACCATGGGGGAAAAAACGGCGCGACGATGTTCAACTCAAATTGTAATTTATACGGCTATTACGGTGCCCCGTAACGCTGGCCATTATAAATTGTCGCTGTATCTGCCGGCGTTCTTATTTATAGTTGCCAAGTAAATACCGCGATAATGCACCGCGGCCGGCCGACGTATTTGCGATTCTAATAGGCGTGCATTTAGCGCGGCACCGTGTATTCGGGTAAACGCGAATGACGCATGGCCAGGGTAATTAAGCAATTACGGGGGTACAATGTTCTTGTCGCTCCGGGGAGGATGAATGTTCGCGTGCCGGCCCGGAATCGTAACGAGAACAGTGATTTTCAATGGGATTAAATTCTTGTAACTCGTGCAAGAAGACAGCCTTCTTTTCGCGGTGCGTCGATAAACGTACGAACGCGAATGGCACGACTACTCTGATTTAATACCCGAGATCCTCGATACCACGTGCTCGCAGCAATGTAACATAGATTCCATCGTCGGGAATAGCGTTTTACCGTAAATTATGGATGGCGTTAACCGTTGATTACAAGAGACATAAAGGACCACCAGAAGTTTTATTTGTCAGAAATATAAAAAATTAACGAATACAGCAAACTTATTTTACGGAGCACGAAGAAAGTTTACAATTCAAAGAAACGAAAGAAAGGAATATAAAATATATCCAATAAGGATAGAGAAGGCTGATTTCGCATGAAATGAAATACGCATCGCTTACCATAGCAGTCGTAGCTTTGTCCGTGACAATTTCTAAAATGTAAAAGCATCTTATAAGTATCCCATCCAGCGAGATCAATTACCACAGGCATAAGCGGTGATACTAACAAGCGAACGAAGCCACTTCCTCGATGCATAAATATAAAGTACATTTAAGCAAAACTGTGGCAAACCTGTAGCGTCTGCTTGTCCCCCGTGTACGCATTTTCCCGGGCATTCGTGTACGCACGTTCTCTCTTTCTCTGTTAGCCTGTCGATTTCAAACGCCGTCGAACTTCGTTCAACGCGCAATGTCTTATCTCTCCGGTCATTTTGCGCTCGTAACCAGGATACATGCGGGAATCGTTGCTACCGAGTCGGTCTGCGATGACAAAGGTCTAAACAAAGGTGGGAAGCGTTAAAAAGGTGAGGATGGAGCGGACGGGAATCCTCTTTAATCCCTGCGTCATGCCGCGAGACTTCTCGCGAACGGACACTGCGAGATACTGGTTCAGCAACGGGCAGTGTCATTGCTAGCTCGTGTGTGGCGGTTTTCTTTCGGTAAACGAGTGTATCCTCTCATTGCAATTTGAAAATCCTCCCGCGGTGGCTGTCCACGTGTCTGTTCTAACTGATTCATACGCGCGCATTTGCATTGCCGACGCGTCCCCGCCGAGCGACACGACACGTTATTCGAAGCGTGTTGCATTATTCTAATCAAGAGCCTAATACCGGCGCGCTTTTGCTTTTATTCGCACGTGGGCAATGCGGCTCGTTTGTACCCGTAATGAGCGCGATTGGGCGCACCTATACGTCGCCGCGGTTCGATTCTACGGACGGTTTCGAGCTATCTTCTCATTCGAACAAGTCATTGCTTTCCTTCTCCTCCGACACACCTTCGCGAGAAATCGCCGAATGTCTTTTAAAATCGCAGCTGTCGTACAGCGAAAACGTAGTATTTTCTCGACATTTGTACGGAAACGCTTCGATATCGTTTCATTCCGTTTCTCTCGCTTCTTCCTTTTTCTCGTTTTACCGCAATTTTGGAGAAAAAGCAATCTTTCGAGTATATAAGTTTCTTAGGTAATTTTAAGGACACGACGGTACAGGTGACGTTACAGGTGATTTTCTCACGTTTTGCAAAACTGCTGTCCGTAGAGTTATCGATATCGACTTTGGAACTTTTTCGCGTATATTTAACTAGGCAGATGAATCGTATTTGATTCGATAAATTAAATCATTTCTCATCTTACGAATTTTGTTTATGTTTGTTCGCTTTACCTGCTTGATTTATCTGGTAAATGCATCTGCCGAGCGTATAACCCCGTGAAAAAGTGCAGCTTAACTTATAATCTTTGCAAAGATTTTGCAAAACAACGATATTCGCGTTGGATAATTTACAACATACCTGTCAAAAGCGAATAATTAAGAAAGTTGAAGTTACTACTTGCTAAAGTGCTTCTGTCCAAGATCATACGAAACAACATCAATTCCCTCTTTCGATCCCGTTCGTAAATCTGGTAGATTCATTAATCAACGCTTAGAAGTCATTTTTCAATACGCATCGATCAATTTATTGATATCCGCTAGATCGATATTCGATCGGCGCGTCCGATAAGTCACGCCGACAGGGGCGAGGGACTATCTGATTTACTGGCGACTCTAGCGTCGTGATCGAGGAGGAACGAAGTGGCAAGGGAGCGGACGAAGAAAGAGGGATCATCGAACGAACGAAGCGTGAGAGGAAGAAGAGGGAGCACAAGCGACAACGGGAGGAGAAGGAGGAGGAGGAGGAGGAGGAGGAGGGAGTGAGGACACGCGTGTAACAAGCGTCGCGGGCATTAATTTAGAATGAGCTCTATGACCCTATGCAAATTCCTCGTGTACAGGAAATCCTAAGAAGCTGACCAGAGTATGAAACGTCGTCAATCTCTGCTCATCCGTGCCACTTCTTTTCGCTTTGCAGCGCGCTATGCTTGGAATTACCATCGCGCAACCACGACTTATTCCGCCACGTCGATAACATGTTACTCTTCCTTCTTATACAGCGTGGGCCACTATCTCCTGCCAGCGTTTAATATCCCGCATCCTACGATATCAATATGACCGTGATGTATCGAATAATTCTCCACCACTCTTGTCGTATCATCGTGTCCAGTAATCAATGATTATACTACGAACACTTTCGATTATTAATCGACTGGAATATCAAGCGAAATTCATGGCTGAGAAACGATAAGTCGATCGAACAAAAAGAAGAAAAATTGCCGCTATGAAGAAGCAGCACTGAGAAATATATCAGGCAAAATTGATGATTTTATGGCATCCACGCATTATCGTGTCTTTCAAATTATACCTGCATAATGTCTTAAGGGTTCAAAATCAAGAAAATTCTTTTTATATGAGATGCATGCCATTTATGTTCCAGACATTTAAATGTTATTTAGCAATTACTAGAAAGAAAAAGAGTAAGAGAAAAACTAGTCGTTTACTTCATTTGCAATCACGAATATAGGCTGTAAAATTAGTTCGTTAAGAATGAAATATTGATTTCGATTCGCGTTACGAATGAAAAAGTAACTAAAAATATACACGTATTAATCGTAGGTTTACTTACTCGGGCGAAGATAATGTTTCTTTGGAGTCTTCCTTATTGACGTTTGACTTTAGACTAGCTTGATAATCAGCATAGGTTCGTATCTCGTAGGTTTTCCTTTTACCTACAATCCTCATTGCCATCTGAAGTTGATCCCGACGATGAAGCTGTACGTATGCAGACGTGTCATTCAACCATGCTATGTACACACTTCCTATGACATAAATATTCTTTGTAGAAATAACAATGTATATTGAATAAAAGAAGAACGAAAATTATATACCATATACTTACCAAGTGGCTTAAACAATTGATATATATCGTTAGACTTCCACTCCTTCGGGAATGTTAAATGGAATACGTGATCTCTATTTGGTTTTACTAAACAAGAAAATAACGTATATATTATCGATCTCGTATTTCCATTAATATGCATATATAAAAAACAAAAATGAGATTACAAAAAATACTTACTGTCATAACTGACAAGGTTTATATATGGAACATCTTTCAGTCTTGCTACACACAATCTAAAACAGAGTTGTACATTATATAATAATGTAGTAAACATAGTAGACGATAATGGGTATAACGTAACTTACTTATTTAAGAAAGGAGCGAGTACGGGTGAATCTGCTAAAACGATTGAAACCTTTGGCGTTTCTAAGGAACCTGGAAAGGGAAACTTATTATGATTAAATGAATACATAAATGACACTTGTATGGTAAAATTGCTTCAACTACTAACCCAGATAATTGGACAACGCGATAAAACATATTCCAGTAACATATGCGTCGTAACCAGCCTCGTGATATTTTTCTTCAGAAATGGAATAATTTATACCCCCGATAGATTCCACTTCCATGATTTCAAATGGTGATTTACAAACTGTTTCGAGCAAAACCGTTAAATTTGACGACTTTACGATATCCTTCAATTTTTCTGACTGGCAAAGTACTTTTGTATCTAAAAGTCTATTAGAAAGTATCGTATGATGACTATATTGCTTAAGATATCGTATAAGTATTCACGAGAAATATTGGAGATTCTTACCTTGGAAACAAGCTATGGACAAGAGATTTAAATTCCAAATATGATTCAGGCAAATCGCCAAAAAACTGATGTATTATATGACAGAGATCTAATAACATGTTATGACCAACTATTAATTTTCCCTAAAATGAGAATATACTTTATTATAAGTTATAGTCTAATGACACGATAAACAAAACGTAATTAACGTAACATACAGAGTTTGCAAGTTTTTTCATAAGTATACTTAATCCAACTGCTTGTTTGACATCTGTCATATCTTTCTTCATTTTCTCGGCATCTTTCTCCATTTCTGCTTCCTTTGTTCCTAGTTTTTGTATTGTAATCCTACATCCCGCATTACTGAACTCAGTATCGATCCGGAATGTGTTTGGCCATCTTAATTTTATTTCCTGACATACCAGTCGTCTAATAAAAGTATTACATCTCTTTATAACTAATTCTTTTTCTTCAGATTTGATGAATTTACTTATCCTCGCACTAAAACAATTCTATGTTAAACTTTCTACCTATAAGTAGAAGAAAAACAAAATATTAATAATTTTACCAAATCTCTTCGATCTGTGGTCTATCAGATATTGGAATAAACAATATCACTGATGACTCATCCTTTGTCTTGTGTTTCTCCTGCACATGTTCTAACATTTCTTTTCCTTCATTTACGTTTAAATAAGGAATGCCCAATTTGAAAAGTTTATTGAAATCAAATCCTACTGCTGCCAGAAACGCAATACTGGATGCCTCGCACAAAAATTTATGATTTGGAGCTGTGCGGTTAAGAGGTCGTGGAAAAACATAAAAATTATATGACCGTTGACTGTACCTTAAACAAAATAAACAAATAATTATGTTAATGCGAAATGTTCACTAAAACGTGCAATTGTTAACAAATTACCAAACTGCATAATACATTTACAAGAATAATTAATTAAGATTGTATTAGGAAAAATAAGATAATGACTATTAACAGCTTGCATTATAAACGAATTTAAAACTACAAATTTGTTTTTAACATTTTAACAATAATTTACTTTATTGAACATTCTGTAGTTTTGTTTTGTATATGTGGAGGCATTAAAGAATATTAGCTATTTACTATTTATTTCTATTAATTATCCATTTAATGGAATATTAGAGCATGCAATTTTGAATAGAATAAATTTTATTCGCTAACAATTGCTGTAACAAAAAAAGTTTTAATAAAAATCTAATACGTACTTCTGTGTTTCTGTATCAAATGTAAAAACAGAAAGGCCAAATTCTATAAGTAGAAAATCCATCGATTTTCTCAATTTGGTATAATATTCAGTAGGCGTGTCAAAGACATTAACATCAATTAGATTAAGTCCTGTGAATTCTCCATCAATCCCAAGGAACGTTGCATTTTTTAGAATTACATCTAATTCTTCCAGGACTTCTTGAAAATCTATAAAATGTATTTAAAATTATAAATTTACGAAAAAATAAATTATTCGTAATTATTGTATTACATTAAAATTAACATTGAATAAATTTTTAACTCTTCAAGATTAAAAAATTATTCATATAATTGAATGCAAAATTATATTGCTTATTAAAATAATATTAACTCCCAATTTTAAATATTAATCTATAAAATTATAACATATTAACTATTAACTTGACTCTTGCAGTTATTGTTGGCGGTTAAATATAACAATAATTTCTTTAAATAATCAGAGGTTGGTAGCACTGTTGTTAAGATCTTTGAATCTAAAAGATCATTCAAGTCGTTATTGCAAAGGTGCATTAGATATTGTGAAATTAGTGTAATTAAAAGTAATTCACTTTGAGCTATAAATGCTTATAATATTTCTATAACATTATATGTATGTAAAGTGTGTGTTAACGTGTGGAGGAAGAATTTAACAAATGTCGTCCTAAATTTAGGAATTCAGCAACATTTCGAAACCTAATTTAGAAGCGCGGGAATTCTGGGAAAGAGAAGTTAATTTCATTCTCCCAATTGTAAGTTATATTTTCATTTTCATAGAAATATCTTGCTTAAACGTACAAAAATGATGTTGAAATGGCTTTCATAATATCGATACTTTAATATTTATTCATTTGAAACCGTTTAGACTAAAAATGGAGTAATGATATACGTTAGCATAATTTGACTAGAATTACATCGAAGATAAAGCTATAATCGTAACAATCGTGTAATTGATTTACCGCCATGTTTGATAGATTTCTACGATTTTCTTATTTTTATATACTAAATTAAAAAATTATCATTTAAAATTAGATATCCTTATGATTTAAATACAGAACAAGAAAAATGTTATCTTTTAACAACAAACTTTTTTTTTTACTCTGATTTTGAAATGCGGAAATTACGCATGTCGTATCTATTTAACATTTCAAATATCTATACAACTCCATTTTTAGTATTTGTTTACTTTTTAATATATTTTAATATCATAAGTTCGTATTAAAATATAACTCACAATATAGCTGTATAAAAAGATACATCATTATTTGATGTTATCTATGTATCGATTTACACTACTAAGAAAGTAAGAAACAATGAAAAATATTTTACAAACTTAAAGTAACTTGAAAATATTTTAGACTTTGAATATTATCAATTACTTTCAATAGCGAAAAGAACAGATTATGAACTAAAAAGATCATTTTAATATAAAAAAAAAAAGTAATATAAGATAAATGTAGTAGGTGCATTGTTTATAAGTCATTCAAAGTCTAATATAAAATTTTAACAAAACTACACAATTATTATAAATACTTTACTTTTATTATACATACAAATGAAACATAATACATATCAACAAGCTAAGTACTTCCATATTGTATTTATTATGTAGCAATAATTTAGGTAATATTTTAAACGAAATATAATACAAGATATTTCTGTGATTCCTTTCTTGTATACTTCTAATGGCATTTTCTCAATGGTTCGCATTAATCTCTTGTGCTCGTAGTACATTGTGTCAGAAATATGCATATTTCCTATCTTTGGTTCACAATAATTCTACCTTAATGTTGTGATTCCAATTTAACATCACTTTGTCCATTATTTTTCACCAAATACTGAAGTTTTGTAGATTATTACAGACTACTCTAAACCGTGGAAGATTGATATCATAACCTCCAATGTTACTTAATTCCAGGTTATTTTTGAAAAGTTAGCTTAGCTATTCAGAAGTATAGGAAGATAATATTCTGTAAAATGTTTCGATATTAAATTTATAAATTACACATTATAATACTATAATTCAAAAAAATATATACATGTAGAAAATTCTGTCAAAATGTAAGCAACAACAATAGTGTAGGTCAAGTGAGAAAGGTAAATATTGTAGTATGCTCTGTTCTATTATTTCTTAATACTTATTTTTATTTCTATATGTTTAACCTCCAAGAATACATGTATGTATACAGGGGTTTTTTATCACAAGGTACTCATAGAAAAAATATAATATTACAAGAATAATTTGCTCAATCGTTACAAAGATCGGAGGTATACGTTTATGTTTATCCTTTCTGATTACTCACTTGAAGAAGTCACTTCCATCTTCTTTTATTATTCTTGCACTTATTTATCTACACTGAATCTATAACAAATATCTATTTCAGTTCGTAAAACCAAATACAAAATTAATGGATTTTATTGATTTTTCTCGACCGTCTCATATTTGACTACGTTAAATAGATAGATCAGAATGAGAACTTCATCGACAAAAATAGTACGGTATATGACTCTGCCATCTCTGGTACAATTGATGTACTATACTATTACGCTACATTCATAATGCCTTACAGAATAACGTAACCTAAATTAAAAGAAATAAACCGTAGCTCTGTAATTTTTAGTGTGTGTTCAAATAAAATATACAAATATAAACTAATTAGAATATTGATAGGAATAAACGGATAAAAAAATTATTATTTTTTTATATAAAATTTTTTATCATGTTTATTATTTTGCATATTTTATTCCTCCTTGTTTCTAATATGCTTAAAAATTTAATTACAAATTTTTAATCATATTAAAAATATAATTAGCAAAAAGATTTAAGTATAACAGAGTATTTGTTTCTTTCAGAGCTTTTATTAGAAATAGAATAATTTAGTTGGAACATATATTATTCTGTTCCTTTAATTTTATATTTTAAAATGTAGGAAAGTTCTATGTTGGATCAATATATAATATGATATATATTTATATTCTAAAATAGCGTATAAAATATTTTATTAGAAAGTTAATGTACTTAAAGTGCTAGAATAGTCAGGCAGTATCAACTTCCACGTAGTGTAGTATCGAGTACTTGGCTAATTAGAAAACCATCATAGTTGTATCGCATTGCTTTTAACGCATTAATCTTTCAAAACATAGAGTGAAAGGTAAAGCAGATGCATACATTTGATATAAAATTCTTGCAAGAATATAAATACCTTCATTCGTATTACTCCAACTTTTTAGAATTTTAAATAACAGGCAGTGAATTTGTAATATATATATTTCTCCATATACTTTACAGAAATATCCCATTAATATTTAACAAATTTCAATCATTACTGTTACCTACTTATCAAATTCCATTGATATCTCTTACAAAATATATACGAGTGCACATTTACAAACAGTACTCTTTACAAACATATTTCTACGTTGTTCTTCTTTTTGATCTCGATAAGGTTTGACTTACACGTGCTTCAAAAATCTGACTACATGCATAAATTTTAGACAATATAGAAGAAATATAAAGTTTCCTAGTATAAATTGCACTAAAGTTATCGAGTACTTGGCTAATTAGAAAACCATCATAGTTGTATCGCATTGCTTTTAACGCATTAATCTTTCAAAACATAGAGTGAAAGGTAAAGCAGATGCATACATTTGATATAAAATTCTTGCAAGAATATAAATACCTTCATTCGTATTACTCCAACTTTTTAGAATTTTAAATAACAGGCAGTGAATTTGTAATATATATATTTCTCCATATACTTTACAGAAATATCCCATTAATATTTAACAAATTTCAATCATTACTGTTACCTACTTATCAAATTCCATTGATATCTCTTACAAAATATATACGAGTGCACATTTACAAACAGTACTCTTTACAAACATATTTCTACGTTGTTCTTCTTTTTGATCTCGATAAGGTTTGACTTACACGTGCTTCAAAAATCTGACTACATGCATAAATTTTAGACAATATAGAAGAAATATAAAGTTTCCTAGTATAAATTGCACTAAATTTTAATAGAAGACAAAAATAGGATCAGAATTACGTCTCTGCTTGTATTATGTCAATCATGATAGAATCCTGATTATTTTTTCCTCATTTCCTACTGGAAAATTTCCTCTACTTCAAACTTATATACCGAAAGACGACGAAGAACATCACTAGCGAGAAAATAGAAAACGAAGTGCAACCTAGAGTCGAACTCTGGAACTAAAATCTCGTACATACATATATGTATCACATTCCCAATATGATTCTAAAGCATTCTCACTTGTATGATAGCACACAAAGATAAATTCCACGTTGAATGCTATCGCTTTGGTTACATAACTTGACGATTTTTCTTCCAATATACGTATAACCAATTTTTCAATATTCTCGTTTATTCCATTTTTTTTAAATTTCTTCTTTTATTCTTTCATTCGACCAGTCGTAATAGGTTTAGTAAAATATATTGCAAGCCGCATAGTGAAACTTAAAAATCGATACCGTGCATTGCAACATTGTTTCATTGTTACAGTTGAAAAATGTATGAAGCTTGACACTGACCAAATAATTAAATAATAATTTTCGCTTTAAATGGAATTTACTATCTTTTCGATAAAAGTTGGTTCTAAGGAAAATTCAATTTTTAAGTCATACGATAATGGACAATAGCAATATCATAAATATTTCGTGAAATGGTGTAACGCGTTCGGAGACATGCGTAGCCAGGAAATCCCTTGGAATAAAATTTAAGATAAATTGTATCCGATCAATTCTGCAGCGAAATAACCAGATAGATTGTTCCAATGGGGCTGGAATCTTGGTACGATACTTTTACACGTATATCGCTCTGTTCACCCTAAGCTTGAAAAATTTCGCTTTCTCCTCGACGAATCATTCAACCTGTAATTCGCTGAAATAGAAAACTTTTAACAGCCTTTCAAAGAGATTTGTACAAGTTTTGCGATACTTCTCTTTGAAATACATCTATTTAATAATGGATGTGCCTGCGTTCCAAGGGTTTACGATTTAAGATTTTAATTCAGATTTGTGATACGAATAAGAAATATTATTCAAGCAATTATATATTTCAATTCGATATTTCAAGAGATTTATATCTTAAATTATGAAAGTGAAGTGAAATCGAATTATCGATTTATTTTTATAGGTTTCGTATAATACCAATTCCACTAATACTTCCAACTATCAGAATACGTTGTTACTTAAAAATTAACAAGATATGTACCCTTCGATAGTCTTTATATATGATAGCGAATAGAAACAGGAAACGATTGTTTTCGTAGTGGAATATATGAAAATAATTTTCTTCAATTCTTTATCTCGATAAATTGTTTTGCTCCCCTCGAAATACGAATTTAGTAATTTTAGGAATCCGAGGATTATTTTTCTTTGAACTCTTTATTTTTCGATTAGTATTTGGGGCAGCAGCAAAATAGCAAAACGCTAATACAATATAAGGCATACAAGACTCGAACATAAGATATACAGGTAAACACGAATGAACATTTGACATGAGGAACTTGTAACACTGTATATTATTTTTCCCTGGACTTAAGAAAAAATTTAGGATCTGAACTCCAGAGGGAGAAATTCTGGAGGAATCCTAGAGGAATGCTAGATGAAATAAGTAGCCGGAAATAGAATTCAATCATATCGGCAAACAATTTGCAGTGATAACAAGCGGATGTTCCGCAATCAGTTACTTCCGCACCAGAACTAATTAAAGCGAATTGAAAGGTAATTGAATTAAGCTTTCAATCGTTATCTCCTCGATGTGTCTCCGGCTCGTGAACTGCGAGCCGTTTCCTTCAAATGGTTGGCCGGATGGGAAGATTGGAAGAACAATACTTCGAAATAAAAGCGAAGAACAAGATTCGAAGGATCCAATTTAGAGCGGAATACGCCTATTCGAGGTTCTGCACAATGCCAATTTCTTTCCTTCCCAGAGGGTCGGAGCGTTTTTGGGGCGTCTAATAGTTTCTGATCAAGTTCCCGGCTGCGTTTGTCATTCATTATTAATTATCCACCAACCTGGCAAAACGTATTACGTCTACCGATATCGATGGCAATCAGTGTCCACGTTTGTAATTATTTGTGTGTCCGAATAATTACAATTGATCATCAACATTTACAAATAAACGGCAAAGCGGACTATTTGCGCACTATGCTTGCATTTTTACAAAGAATTCTTTATACGACAAGAATTTGCTGATTAGTATCGTATCTTGTAGACGTTTCTGAAGAAGAAACCATGGAACAGGAATGTCGAAACAGTTTTCAATTCGATTAGATCGAGAAAATATTCGTCGATAACGTGTATACGAGGTTTTACCGCAATGCAATCATTGCCCCCTTCTCTAGCCACGACAGTGCCGTAGCTACAAATAATCCGATTCAATTGCAACTTTTAGTCGTCATAACCTTAAATAGGACGTTTCTAATAGTTCTTCCAATTTTTCTTCGATTTTGACGTGTCAGGTGCGAAATACAGTTGCGTGAGTGTAAATCCTGTAAACATACTGTGTACTTACGTAATATCGATTGTAGATTGTCGATTTCGATTGTCAATGGCGATTTTTAGTGTACATAGCTTCGAATAGGATGTTTTTTAATAGTTCTCTCAATTTTTTTTCCATTTTCACATGCCATGTGCAAAATATAACGATGTGAGTAGAAATCCTATAAACGTATTGCGTAGTTACGAATTAGTGTATTTAGTTCGAATAGGATGTTTTTTAATAGCTCTCTCAATTTTTTTTCGATTTTAACATGCCATGTGCAAAATATAACGATGTGAGTAGAAATCCTATAAACGTATTGCGTAGTTACGAAATATTGATTGTAGATTCTCGATTTCGATTGTCACTTGCAATTCTTAGTCAAATTAGCCTCGAATAGCAAGTTTCCTAATAGATTTCTCAAATTTTCGCCTATTTTAGCATCTTATGTACGAAATATAAGAGCGTGTGTGGAAATCCTATAAACGTATTCCGTAGTTACTTGATATCGATTGTAATTTCTAGATGTCGATTGTCAATTGCGATTTTTAGTCAACATAGCTTTGAATAGTAAGTTTTATAATACTTCTCCCAATTTTTCTTCGATTTTGACGCGTCATGTGCGAAATAAAGTGTCGTCGGTGCAAATCGTATAAAGATCCTGCGCGTAAACGAAATTTACGCAATATATAATGGAACTGCATTGCGAAAGAAATATTAATTCTTCCGTAAATTGGATAACATAATAGAAGACAGTCAAAAGCGATATCTTGAAATTCCCATGGAGTACGTATGGTAATCGTTCTTGCTGAAACCTCGTTCGTTTCCAAATTATTTGACGGTCGAGTATCTGCAACCACGGCAAAATGCGATTACAATCAACGAAAGCTTTAATACCTTGTAAGAAGCTCTCGATACC